ATTCACACACTTTACTTACGGTGCCTACTGTTCGCTCGACTCAATTATCTCTATCTTCAATCTATCTGCATATCTCTTCGATCTATCTGCCATTCTATTCTTTATTTGCCGGGCTTATATACTAAAAAAGAGGGCGTCCCGAACAAACTAGGTAATTCACGATCATTCGAGAAACTCCTCGCACACGCCACCAGCGCCAAAGCGCCAGCAGCGTCACGTGACTTCCGCTGTCGTAACAATATAAAGGCTTATAAATGTTACCTCCAATGTCTCAGCAGTAAGCTTAAGGGCTTATAACGCTAAAAATCAGAGCTTGATCGTTGCAGTGGGCAAAGAGGAAATAGCCCATGATGAAAATCAAATTTATTGTAATAAATAAATAATAAACTATTCTAAATCCCAAAGATATTGTAACACGCAACTAACACAAATCATACACTCCTCAAGCTTTAATCTCATATTTACAAATGTAAACAAATATATACGTAAACTGAATTTAGAAACATACTAATTCCGGTAGAGGTCGTATGCTAATTCAATCCTAAGTGTTACTTTCTGTAGTAGGGTCCGCCTATGGGAACTACCAACTGTTTCAGGAGTTAGTTTTATTTGTGCCTTACTTCATCTTGACTATGTGGGGTAGCTCTGTCGTTATCACGTAGACAAAAAATATTTTTGGATTTGTGTTCTTCACTTTTCTGATTGGTTAATCACATGAAGACGATGAATTGTAAACGGGTTTTCAGCGTTTATAACTTCAAAGGATCAAGACTTATTTCCTGTATGTATTTTCTTCGATTAACATCATTAAGTAAAGTTAATTTTAATTGATTTTGCTAAATACAATTTATTTACTCTAAAGTTCAATAAAGTTATTTCATTTTCAACCTCATAACTAATAACATCTCACCACAAAAGATATCAGCAGCCTATAAATATAATTCATTCTCAATTTTCATCTGTTAATGAAGTGTTTGTTTATTTGTTTGGCGGTAAATTAAGTCTTGTTTTTTTCATTCCACGTAACAATGCTTTTACATATACTAGGTCTACGAACCCCAATTATTCATTTATTGCGAAGGTCAAACTAGCTGTATACTAGGTTAAGATTTCTTTTATGTTATCCATTTCAAAAACGAACCGTATACTAAATACAAATACAGGAATTGTCAAGGAAATGTGTTGACTTAATATATCATTTATTATTATCTGCTGTCTTTGAAAATGTATGCACTAAACATTTTCTTGATCTTATATCTCCTGGTGGACAGAAAAATTATAAATATGACTCAAAAATACTTATAATTTCTGTCTCTCAAACCCATTCACTTACAATACGGTTATTTTCTGTTTTGTTGTTGTTTTTTAATAAGCCACTCTCAAATGCGTTTCTAAGAAATTTAAAATTATACGTTTGAAATTAATATAAAGAAAGATAGTTAACTTGTCAGTTTTGTAAGCTATATTTTCAACGTTTTAATTTAGATGTTTGCTAGAGAGCGCATGACGTTTAAAATCGTTAAAGTTTATGAAAGTTAATAATCGATAAACCTTGTGAAGTATGTAAAAACAAGAATAATATATAAATTCGAATAATTATTGATTGAGAAGCCAGTGAATTATCCAGTGAGGATTCAGTACGTTTTAGTAGTGACAGTTATCGGATCCATTCAATCGATTAGCTAAGGAAATCTATAACTTGTAGACTTCAAAACGTGAGATGCTAATAATATCTACATCTAGGTAACATTAGCATCGCACTTTCTATTGAAACGTTGTTTGTAAACTTAGGCCTACAAATTACAACTTGTGGCAAAGTGAAAGTACCCCTAACAAAAACTACTGATGAAGTGAAATATATCCATATTTAGTCATCTATTTATTATACAGATCTTACAGTCCTAGGTCAAAATCCTTTTGATTCTAAATACCTTCATTTATTATCGTTACTAGACTGGACTTGGAATAATAATTATTATTATTTTCCAACTACTCCAAAAGAAACCGCCCAGCTGTTGAAAACGTTACAACAATATCAACAAAATGAAATGAAGCGTATGTCAGGAGAAAAAAACTATGTGACTTTGAAGTTAAGCACAAAGCTACACAATGGGCTATCTGTGCTAAGCCCACCACGTGTATCGAAACCCGGTTTCTAGCGTTATAAGTCCGCAGACATACCGCTGTGCCACTGGGGGCTACTATGTGACAGCAAACTATTTTATTTCCACTGGTAATCTTAAGAAATAAGTTAGCCTTCTGTGAAAAAAAAACTTATTTGTTCTTTTTTTCACAGAAGGCTAACTTATTTGTTCTTTTTTTCACAGAAGGCTAACTTATTTGTTCTTTTTTTCACAGAAGGCTAACTTATTTGTTCGGAAGAAATTCGATATTTTTTAATGTTCATAATTGATCCTCAGTAACACAGCAGTACGTCAGAAGGCTTTTAACTTTAAAAACCGAATTTCGATACCCATGGTGGGCAAATCACAGATAGTCCATTGTATAGACATTGTGTTTTATAATAAAAACTAACCCTAAAATTAGTTTGTTAATCTTTACCATGCAAATCAAAATAATTGTAACACCTTTGAAACTAAAAACATTTCGATCCTCAGATATAACAACTTTATGAATGGCAAAGTAGTATAATTATCTTATTTTTGATTAAAAAGTTATTTTACTAATAAGAATAAATGTTTTTTCCCCTGTCATTATTAAGTATTTTCCCAGTACTGATCTTAAAC